GACGATATTATCGGATATCGCGATATTTTTAAAGGCGATTATCGATAAGATATTTTTGACATATCGCCCAGCTCGAGTTGTGCACCTCTGACACTACTATTTAAATTTGTTTTCTATTTTAATATATTTTAAAATGTAATTTATTGCTGTGATCAAAGCTGAATTTTCAGCATCATTACTCCAGTCTTCAGTGTCACATGATTTTTCAGAAATCATTCTAATATGCTGATTTGGTGCTCAAGAAATATTACAAAAATTAATATTTTTCTAGAAAACAATACATATTTTTCAGAATTCTTTTTGAAAATAAAGTTGAATAGAACAGCATTTATTTGAAATAGTAATTTATCATTTGAATGCATCCTTGCTAAATAAATAAAAAAATCTAAAAACAATTATCCCCAAACATTTGAACTAGCGTGTATGTTAGACAGTATGACAACCTTAGTCTCACAATGCATTGTATAAAAATAGATGCAATGAACCTTATCTTTTGTGTTCTTTTTCACATAAACAATCCTTTTGATGTGTCTTTTCCAGGTCAGCAGTTCTCCTCTCACACCTTCATCTGCCCCTTCTGTGGAACTCTTTGCCCTGACTCCTCTTTCCTGGAGGAGCACATCAAGCTCATGCATCACGACGAGAACACTCTGCAGTCGGCCCCGGGCGGTTCTTCCTCTCGTGGGGAGAGCGACTCGGGCGAGGCGGGCCGAGCTCTGGGAGGCACAGAAAGACCGGTTGGCCGGGGCGCACGGGAGAAGAAAGTGGAGGGCGGATATGAGTGTGGTGACTGTGGACGTCATTTCAACTATCTGGGCAACCTGCGCCAGCACCAGCGCATCCACACTGGCGAGAAGCCCTTCATTTGCCCCGAGTGCGGAGAGCGTTTCCGGCACGCCGCGCGCCTCAAGAGCCACCGCCTCAGCCACAGCGGAGCCAAGAGCCCCTTCCCCTGCCCGCAGTGCGGTAAGGGCTTCCCAGTGCTGTCTGGACTGAAACGGCACCAGCGTGTGCACACAGGAGAGAGTCCCTACGCTTGTCCCCAGTGCGGACGCAGATTTAAAGAGCTGGGCAACTTATACACACACATGCGCATTCACAGCGGCGCTACGCCCTACTCTTGCTACCAGTGTGGGCGGAGCTTCAGGCATCTGGGCACATATAAGAGTCATCGCTGTATGCCGGCTACACAGTTAGCCAGTGGCCACAGTCCAGCATGGGCGCAGGAAGACAAGGTGCAAACTGGGTAACAGCTGAGTGACAGATGTGTACAAAAAGTGGTTTGTTACTTCCTCGACTGCTGGTTCAGGATCCATTTCAAGTCCGAGAAAGAAGCTCGGCCGAAGAGAGATGTGAGAGAGAGGTCGTTATGACCATAAAACAACATCAGGTTTCATCGTAAATATGAAGCTGTATGAATAAGGACATCTTTCTCATTCAAGTTAGTTAACGTCATCTTTAACGGTAACTTGCTGCTTGTTAAATGTTCGTTTTTTGAAACATTTTGCAATAACTTCTTCCAGCGTCAAACATAAAAGGTGTTTGAGTGTCCATATACAGTATTTCAAGACTGCACTAAATATCATTTGATGTGTTTTACTTGTAAATTTTTTTAAATTCGGACTTTTTGCAAAAAGTGTTTCTGACTCTGTTTAGAAGCAGATAGCAGGGCCCCAGGGCCGGATTAACAGAGTGAAATATGCCTTATAAAAACTAATTCAACAATAGCGAATCTTTTAAGTTAAATAATTATACATTAATAATGATTCAACATGACATTCCCTCTTCCACCCTTACAAAAAAAAAAGTACCATGATGGGAGATTGTAATACAACAGTTCTTAGATATATACCTATTGTATTAAAAACAAAGGAGAGGGAGTGGTCATGGCGAAACATCCAATCATTTGGTATCTCTGAAAAGCCCTGAATGTGCTCTGTACAGGACATCCAGCTGATTAAAACTGTGACATGTGAGGTCTCAGAGAAATCGCTAAAACATAATGTCCTCTACAGAGGACAAAACTCCATAGCTGGTAGTCAGGAGGATATATTAAATATATTTATATATAATATAAATTATATGAATATAAATATATACATGTACATATTTTCAAAACATACTGTATGTGTGTGCCTTTATATATACATAATAAATATACACAGCACACACACATACTATGTAAACAAAAACTTATTTTGGATGCGATTAATCGTTTGACAACACTAATATATATATGTATGTATGTACACTATCATTCAAAATTTTAGGGTCGGTAAGGGTCCTTTTTAAAAAAAATCTCTTATTTGCTCAAAAATACAGTTTAAATGGTAATATTGTGAAATATTGTTACAATTTAAAATAACTTTTCTATCTGAATACATTTTAAAATGTCATTTATTCAAGTGATGGCAATTTTACTCCAGTTTTCAGTGTCAGGTGATCCTTCAGAAATCATCTAATATGCTGATTTGGTGCTTAAGAATCATTGCATAATATCAATTTTGAAAACAGTTGTGCTGTTAGATTTTTTTCTGAAAACGGTGATACATGTTTTCAGGGTTCTTTGACGAATATTAGAATTTAAGTTTTTAGATCAACTTAATGCATCTGTTAGATTTTTTTCTGAAAACGGTGATACATGTTTTCAGGGTTCTTTGACGAATATTAGAAATGTTTTTTTCTTCTTCTCGTTTTTAGATCAACTTAATGCATCCTTGCTAAATGAAACTAGTCTATTCCTAAAAAACAAAACAAGAAACTCACTGACCGTAAACGTTTGATCAATTGTGTACAGTTGGCAATTGATGTTGAAAAGACCTCAGTCAAAAATGGGTCAAAAAACAGGTCAAATATGCAAATCAAACTGACTTCAAAAACTTGACATGACATTGATTTGATGTAAACTGAACGTCAAATGTATAATGGCCTACATATACATTAAACCAATGTCAGTGTGGGAATAACTTACTGTTTTTACCCAATTACCACTGAAAGAAACTGCCGTCCAAACTGAATTTAAAATGATGTTACAGCATCTTAAACAAGTCTTGACTAATATTTGACGTCAAATTGATATTAAGGTGACAGCTGGGATGGTACTTCAAAGAATACCATGGAATGTGTCCAATGGCATTTAAAGCGGTGCCGTTTTGAGCGTTAGTGCTGCCATCGTGTGGATGACTCGTGTCACTGCATCACCGGGACAGTCAGCGCATGCGTATGTTTTCAATTTGTTTTATTATGTGATCGCACTATTAACACCTTTTTTATTTATATCAGTGAATTTGTTTATATATGGCTACCTGTATTTTAACAGCTGAAAAAATACCTGAATGGAAAAAAAAGTATGGATTTAGAAAAGATGTGTCATTCAGAAATGAACCTGGACACACTTAATGGGAATGACTGTATGAAGTTTATTAAGTGTTGGAAATACAAGCTATCCATAAGACTTTTCCATAGCAGTGATCTCAAAATAGCCTGAATATTACCAATTAAATAGCACAAAATAAGGTACAATTTGTCATGTCTCAGTAAATGATCTGTACAAGGCAAACTGTACTGAAATAAACTGAACTGTAACTAATAAATACTCTAAGGATATGGTTCAAGTTGTTCATGTATGTGTAAGCAAGCGGTTGTTGACATCATGACATGCTATTGAAGCACATTAAATATAACGCTTGTGTACGAAAGGATGTGTTTGTTTTTAACCTGCATTGAAATTGCTATGGACCCAAACAGCTGTGGAGTGCTCTTGACGGGTTGAATGCTGCTGCGGTCATTCCTCCTGTAAATGTCTCTCAGATATGCATGAGAAAACGTCGTCGTGACATTTAAGAGAGGGGAACATATATGTCAGGAGAGACTGAGAGAAAGGACAGCATCCAGCCAGAGGAACTATTTTTCTTTATTAGAGGGTGACAAGTCTCCGTCAGTAATCACGACGCCTTAATAACACACTGCCAGCTGAACTTGTAATTTCTCCAGGAGATTGCCAGGCTGTGTGTGACTGCTAGACTCTTTTCCAGGAAAAGCAACAAATTCTCACACAGAGATTGCAAAAGTTGGCTACACGAAATTAATTTTTGATTATAGATGAAATATGAGTTATGTGAGTAATATACAGTGATAAAATAAATCTACACTAAACTTTAAGCAATTAGCAAATGGTTTGTATTAATTTAAAGGGGTCATATGATGCTGCTAAAAAGAACATTATTTTGTGTATTTGGTGTAATGAAATGTGTTTATGCGGTTTATTTGTATTTAAACTGTATTTTTGTAAACTGTATATTTGAAATATTTAATTCACAGGAAATTTTACATAGTATATATTTATTTAAAAAGCATTATGCATAGCAGTTGCCATTGGGCTAGATGACCTTTTCTTAGCCATACTTTCTCATTATGCACCTGTGATGATTTATTGCACACATTCATTGAAACTGATTTTTTTTTTATTAGTTTTGTGATCGCAAACAAACAAGCAATTTTTAGAAATATATAATATCTTTTTCCAGATCATAAGAAACAAATTCAAGTGTCCAAACTTGGTTGTATGAGAATGCTATAAAAAGTATTTGCTATAAAAAGAATGGTACCATTCATTCTGAAGACTTAAATATTTGCAATGAAACTGCCAGTACATGTTGATTATTTGAGGCAATAAGCACTTCCTGGCCACTACTAGCGGCATTGCAGACACAATGTAAACACCGGGGGACTCATTTATAAAATGTTGCGTAAAAACCATCCTAAATTTGTTCTAAGATCATTTCTCAAAAGTGCGTAAGTGCGATTCAGAGAAAACGAACGTGCGCACAAAAACACGTGCGTACGCCTCTCTTCCAGATGTGACATTTATAAATCGCAAATGATCTTGAAATTGTGCGCAGCTGACTGGTGTCAGATCTCCGCCTTGTAAACGCCCCCTAATTAATATCATTACCATATAAAAGAGCGCACGCCAATATCCAATAATAATAATAATGATAAAACAATTAGGTTTCCAAAAGTAAGAATAGGAATTCAAGTAAAATTTTCAGTCATCTTATAAAAAGTGAGCCATGCACCCTACGTTTAAAATCACTTGCTATGACAACTAATAACAAGGTTAGTATCACGAAATTATTGCAATACGATCAAATCTGTGCGTACGCACATTTTATAAATGAGGCCCCTGGGCTCTTGTTGTGGAACTGCAGGGGATTTATGGACCCCTGATGTGAAGAGGGTCTAATTTTATCCATCTCATAAGACCACACGTGTGGGATGTTTGCTGTAGACACAATGGGTGCCCAGACAGCAACATAGTGTTGGCCCAGATCTGTGGCCAGTGACGTGACGTGTGCCCAAGTATGGTGACCCATACTCGGAATTAGTGCGCTGCATTTATCCCATCCAAAGTGCACACACACAGCAGTGAACACACACACACACACACACACCGTGAAC